TTATGATTTTCTTTGGTCGATGAATCTATTTCTTCTAGTTTATCTTCTGCGCCTGAGATTCTCTCTTCCATCTCTTGATTATGCTTGTGTCCGTCGTTGCTGATTTTTTGCCCAGCTTTTCAATTTCCAGCATTCCTTTCGTTTGTGTTGCCTTTATTTTCTCAATTTCAGTTTTCAAGTCTTGAACTGTTTCCTTCACCTGGTTAATTGTTTTTTCTTGGCTTTCTGTACTTTCCTTAAGGAATTTGTTCATTTCTTCCACTTTTTTGTTTGTTTTTTCCTCCATTTCTTTAAGGGATTTTCTCACATCTTCTTTGAGGGCCTCTATCATTTTTATGATGGTAATTTTTCAGTCGTACCCTTCTGCTTCCTCTGCTTTGTTGTTGTGTTCCATTCTAGTTGGTGTAGATTCCCTAGATTCTGGTGGTGTCATGTTTGTCTTTCTGTTGTTAGGTGTTCTCTTGTATTGCCTTCTTCCCATAGCTTCTTCCAGTAGGTGTTGGTGGTGTCTCCCCCCTCTCTCTATGGTACTTCCCTGATGGGCTTATGTGGGTCTGAGATTCAATATCTGTAGCTCTGTATGGTCCAAGCTCTCTAGGAGGTTTCTCCGCAGACAGGGATTCAGGGATGGGGTCAAGGATGAGGATCCAGAAGAAGATGCCAGCAGGTACTCACAGTGGACCTCTGGCCAATAGCTGTGGCCAATAGCTCTGGCCAATAGCTGGCGGAAGAGGACGAGGGCTGAGCTGGAACTTGAGAAGGTTTTGCAGGGTAGTGGGATCTCACTGGAAACTGGCGCTTTCCAGCTGAGACCTCGTTCTTTGGCAGAGGCCAGGATTTGGGGGTCAAGGATCTTGCCTGCAGGAACTCCAAGTGGACCTGCAGAGATAGGCGGATCTCTGGGAGGGGCCCGGGACTCCAGCAGAGGACTGGAGGCGGGGTCAGAGACCAAGCCAGTGGAAATTGGGTGGTCCCGCGTGGATAGTCAGGTCTCCTTTGTTCAGAGTTGCTCCGAGAAGTCTCCGAAGTAGGGTGGACTGTTGGCTCCACCCTCTGTCCCAGTGCTCAACCAGAGCGGCAGGACCGTGGGTGGAGTAAGGCTAAATTGGTAATTTTTAAGCATATCTATAGAGTAGGCGATTCTTTTATTTATTTATTTATTTTACATATTGATGCCAGTTCCCTCTCCCTCCCTTCTTCCCTTCTTCCCTTCTTCCCTCTGTCCCTCTTTCCTTCTCTCCCCCCCCTCTCATGCACCCCGACCTCCACCCCCTCCCATTCCCCCACCTACTCCACATGTAGGGTGTTTCTATCCAGGAGGGGTCATTCTAAATATGTCAAGTCATTTGAAGTAGGGACTAGGACTTCTCTCCTGTCTCTAGGTAAATGGAGTATCCTTCCATGCGGAATGTACCCACAAGGTCCTTTTGTGCACCAGGAAATACATCCTGATTCCACTGTCTGATGTCCCTTAGACTGCTCAGGCCTTCTAGCTGAGTCCCATGTTCAGGGGGTCTGAGTCACTCACATGCTGGATTCCCAGATATCAGTCTGAGGGCCCGTTTGCTCCTCCTTGTTCAGGTCAGCTGTCTCTATGTGTTTCTGTAGCCTGGTCTTGTTCTCTCCCTCTGCATCTGGATTCTAGTTCAGCTCAGTGTTCAGTTGTAGGTGTTTGCTTCTGTTTCCAACAGGTACTAGATGAGGGCTCCATGATGGTGGATAAGTTAGTCATTGATCTCATTATCAAGGAAGAGCATTTATGGTAGCCTTTCCACTGTTGCTCAAATTGTTAGTTGGGGTCAGTCTTGTAGGTTTCTGGACATTTCTTTAGGTTCTGTTTTCTCTTCAATCCTATAATAGCTCCCTCTTTTATGTTCTCTCTCTCTCTCTCTCTCTCTCTCTCTCTCTCTCTTCTGTCTTCTTTTCCTCCCCTGAATAAATCTTCCTAGTCCCACATGCTTTCTTCTCCTCCTCTTCTCTTTCTCCTAGTTCCCTCTCAACTTTGTACTATCTTGAATTTTCATCTTTCTTGCTTTCTGCATTGCATTTCTAGAATTAGTTCCTCGAATTTTAAAGATTATCCACATGATTTTATTTGAAGTATTTACAATACTCAAGAGTAGCTAGATTGTAGAATTACAGCATTATTTCTCTCTCATAAAATGGAATTGTAGCCCACTAACACAAATATCAGTCTATATGTTCAAGTCAATTGGTATGATATACAGCACAACTCTGAGAGTAATATACTAATGGCATAAGCAACCATAATTGATATATAGGACCAGTAAGAAAATATCAAGTTAAAAACATTGCCCCTTCAGTTCCAATAACTTCTGGAGAATAAAGAAACTAGATTGCTTTGTACCTTGAATGTTTAATAAACAAATTGGTGTTTATTGGGGAACAACTACACAGAAACATACAAAGAACCACTGGAGTGTTTCCCTGTTCTCCCTATAAGATCTGTTGACCTGCCAGAAAGAGCACACAGAGGAAAGCCATGCCTCAAGCTCCTCTCTTTTCGCTTCCATCCACCTGAAGCCACACCCAAATCAGTCCTTACAGGTCCACAGACCAGAAGCCTACAATTCCCCCTTTTAATCTAAAGAAGAAGGTTTTAAGTCTGATGCAAAAACTGTATACAAGGATAACAAATGTCAAGTATACACCAGGAAAAGGAAAGATAACCCTACACTAATTGAAACCTACTATCAGCAATAACAACATTGAACAACAGATATATACAACATGACCAGTGTACATGCCCAGTATCAAGGTAAAGGCATGAGAGGTTACTCTGATAGCAGCCTTAATCTGGAAGGTCCAAATCTTGTCTGTTAAAGATAAGAGAGGATATTGCTATGGCTGTCTAGTCTTCAACCTCATCAAAGACCTGAGAAGAAAAATAAGAGTACTAGGTTAGGCTATAAGGGCAAGAATGTGACTTCCAAAGGTGCAAGCAAAGACAGTCACCCAAGATCTCACAACAATGTCAGGGCGACCAACTTTGGCTAAGGTCTAAAGTATCAAAAATTACATCTAAGAAGCAGGGAAATTCAAAAGCTCTCTTACCCTGACTTGGCATGGTTCAACAGCCTTCTTTAAGTTTATCTCCTGCAAGCTCAGTTCAGACAGCATGTCCAAGGTCAAGGTGGGGGCAGTTCTTGGCAAAGAAGCCAGTAAGCAAGGAGAAAATGAACTCCAGATGCAGTATCATCAGTGCCCAACATATTCTTGGCATTAGCTCAGTGCTATCAGGTGCAATTGTGTCTCATGTCAATGGATTACTAGTATTAAAACAGTTAAATGTCATATTCTGCCAGTCTTTGAATTGTTTGAAGAGCAAGTATCTATGTCTGACTAACCTCGTAAGTGTAAGAAGCATGGGTAACTATAATCTGGAATTCTCAGAAACATAGTTTCTCAATGGCCAAAGCTTCCCAAAATAATTTAGCTAGGACAACGACTTTAAATATATGCATATACATGTACATATACATATACATATATCCCATCTTAACCATACCCTTCCCATCCATACCCTAAACTTATCTAAAACAGTAACCCAAGTCTAACCATCATCTTCAATACCCAACCATGCACAACCTAAAACCAGCCCTAAGTAGGTGATAATTATCCCTTTTTCTGTGTCAAGAGGGAAAACAAACAAACAAACAAAAAACAAAATACCCTTAATGCCAACTGTGGGGAAAAGGGGCCAAGAGTTACTAACTGCTGAAATGGGGTAATTGTGACTCTATGTGATCTTGTAAGAAAAAGAATAAGGCAATGGAAAAGCTCAGGACTGGCAGTAACATTTGTAGCTAGTCTCTGACTGGCAGGGATGCTTGACTGAAGTTCTTATCTGAAGCTCTGGCTAGAGTGTTATAAGGTACACCAACTCAGCTAGGTAGACTGGAATTGTCTAGAGCATTACAGTCCTAAACCAGTCTTAGAGTGATATTTACTAGTTCAGAGACAAGTTGAATCAAGTGGAATTGATGAAGTGTGGCCCCATCTTCTTTCTGGAGATTTCAATCATTGCTGTTAGGAAACGTTATTTTTCATTGTTGAAGACTTAAACATTAATATAAATACAGAAAGTCTTTTGGATTCTTGAAGATGAGTATTTTCTGTTTTCCTGTAAAGACAGGAAGAGAACACTCCCCCTACCTTTGTGAGGCCTTTGTGAGATATACCTTGGTAGATGACCCATCATTACTCCTTATCCAGAGGTTTCTCCTGTTCATGTCAAATCTTGATCTACTTTGATGGCATCCAAAGCTTTTCTTCTCCTGTATAAACAAAGGTGAAACACCTACACCAAAGTATAACATATCTTAGTTTCTATGCTGAGGTCAATTAATCCTTGAAGTACACTGGCTGATTTAGCTCAGAAGTTTTTTCTGTTGTTCAATGTCTTTCTGTGGCTGTTTTTCCGTTCTCCTTAGCATTAAGAAAGTTATGTAAACCATTATATGATCTGTTTCGGGGGGCTCAGGGTTCCCAATGCATGTTTATAGAGCATTTACTTTAAAAGTGCTATTAGATCTCTCCACTAATGCTTAGATAATTAGTTGTGGATCCCTAAACATTTCCCTATTGAAAGATTTCTCTTTACACCTATGGAAGAAGAGCAGGGTTAGGCAGGGAAGGATAGGAGGAAGAAAGGGAAAGAGGACATGAGGGATCAGGAAGATTGAATTGGGGGAAGAATAGAGAAGGAGAGCAAGAAAGAGATACCGTAAGAGAGAGAGCCATTATATGTTTAAAGAGAAATCTGGTACATTGAAGAACTTAATGATACCTAGACATATAAATTATCTTCACCAAACAGAAAATGATATAACGATGTTAAACAACTATAAATAAGATAATTAGATGAAGAAATGAAGACCTTTGCAGCCTAGCCTCCTAAAAACTCAGACATTAGATAATGTAAACAAGAATTCTTACACTTGGGACACAGACTAAATATAGATATCTGTCCTTCACAGAGCCATGGAAACAGAAAAGTGCATCCCTGATGAGGCTCAATCCAGAAGCAGAAGACAGCAAGATCTCCAAGAGGTGCTGACAGAAGTGGGGTTGTCTGTTGACTACTGGCTGCCTAAGCTTCAGGAAGACCTGGGTGTGACCTGTGCGCAGGCCTTACAACACTTAGAAGAAAAAGACCTCCAGAAACTGAAGTCCCAGACACAACACACATGGGAGAAAAGGGCCCTAAAGAAGCTGTTTGACCTCTCACAGAGAAGTGTTGCCGAGTTGCAGGAGGCAGGAGAGATGATGAGGAAGAGGCAAAGGCAGGCAGGACAGGCACTGCAGGAACTGAGAGTTTTGCAGTCACAAGGGAAGCCCAGACAGGAAGAGGCAGTGAGGAGGAAAGAAGCAGAGCTGAGACAAGCAATGGAGATACCTGAAGAATGCTGGCCAACGCCTGAGGTACCCCTAGAAGACATCACTGAAACAATGGAGAGACAGCTCAGTCACATAGAGCAGACACTGGCAAATAGTGAAAACTTCTCACATAGAGACCTGGTAAGATTCACATCTGGAGGGCTGGCTCTGCAAGGAATTTATAAGACTTCCCATCAAAAGGACCTGGTAGCAAGGAGAGAAGAACTACTCAGTGTCCCCCAGGAATTCTTTCTCTTTGGATCTGAGCAAGGAAAAAGAATGGAAACAAAAGAATTCACATCTTCCAAAGAAGAATCCCTGTTCACTGAAACTGTGGAGAAGCTTGGTTTCAGGTTGACACTGTCAGCCAAGGGTGACGGCTGGGGATTTCGTTTTGAAGGTGGGATGGACAAAGTCAAGCATTCAGAATCCAAAGAGGCCCACCAATCACATTCTAAGCACTCATATTTCTGCTCATCGATATTCAGCTACAACCCACTAGCCTCATTCCACTTTAGGAATGACCAGCTCCAGCTCTCCACTGCTGCTCTTAAGGAACTTAAAAGCATTGAAGAGCAACTGGAACACACTGAAGGACCAGAGAGATTCCTCGTAGTGAGGAAGAGGATTGAAAACTTCTTCAACAGATTTGGTTCTCATGCTAATCAGGGCCCTCTGCACCTTGGGGGAATCTATTGCTGGAAGGCCACTTCAGAGGGTTTCATAAGTGACCATCTGGATTATGTGAAGCAGCAGACAGGAGAAGCTTTGAATACTTATGTAAGTGGAAGCTACAGTGGCTTTGGAATTAAAGTTGGGGGAGAGATAAAAACATCAGACTCACATTCAGTAAGATCCTACAAAAATTCAACTAACCAGCAGATTCAACTAAAAGTGAAATTATCTGTGTCCCAGATAGGTGGACCGCCAGAAGCTAATGGAATTGCTCAGTGGACAGCTGGACTTCTTGCCAGCAACAAAACCTGGAATGTCATTGACCGAGAACTACAGCTGGTTTCTATTTGGGATATCATCCTATCTAACCACAGAAGCAATTTTAAAGACCCCATTCTGTTGGCTAGTTGCCTGGCAGACAACTACTCTGCTCTGACAGGCCTTGCTGCCCACATACAGGCTGGAGAAGAAATGCTGGGTTCCATAAAGGAAGCAGGACAATTCCTGGATGATGTGAAATCCTGGGAAGTTTCTGACCCTGAAGAACAGCTTAACAACCTGATAGGATTCATGCAAGAATTGGCTCACAAAACAAGAGGGTATGAGATTTGGATTAATACATGCCTCACAAACTGGGATCTACAAAATTTTCTCATAAACACTGTCAACTTTTGCAAAAACTCTTCCATTCAAAAAACGCAGTTTATTAAATCTCAGTTTTGCAGCCTTCTAGAACCTCATGTCTACAAAGTGAAAAACTTTCCTCAGGTGAAGTCAATCATGCAGTGGATCTATCAGGCAGAGTCAGAGGAACAAGAACTCAAAATCACCGAATTGTCTGAATTTATTAAAAATTTGAAAGAAATCCAAAAATATCTGACAGAAGCAAACATCAAAGCTGACTCCCCAGAAACGATGGAAGGGGCTAAAAGAAAGGCTACATATGATGCCAGCACAGCTCTTTGTGCCTTCTTGAACTATGTCAAAAACACAGAGCAGTCAGACATGCACCTGCTACTACTCTCCATCGCTGCTGGTGCAGGCTATCATCTGGAGAGAAAAGTTTTCCAGCCTCTCCTAGGGTGTGCTGAGATAACCTTCCTCCTGGATGAAATACAGACTGTCCAATGCATATACCAGGAACTCAAAACTATCTGCACTGAGAGGGCACAGGCATTCCTGGTACTCAAAACTCTGACAACCACAGCTGGGGTATCAAGTATTTCTCCAGAAGAAAAAGCACAACGCTTGGCATTGATAAGGCAGCATATGGAGCACTTATTGTTTACTAAAGTTGCACATGTCCTCACAAAATTTGGAACAGATCATGACTGGGGGAAATTAGAAAATAATTTGAGATTACTCATTGATGGGAAATATGAAGACAACACGTCTTCTTTGCAGATGGATGAGGTGAAAAAACAATTGCAAAGTCTCCTGAATCAAAAGAGAGAAACTTATGAACAAGATGAAAAAGAAGTCATAAAAAAGGGACCTTTCCTAGACCTACTCCAACGTCTAGGCCTAGAACATCACTACCCAAAAAGCATGAGCAGAGCTGACTTTCATCTGATCTACAAGTCTTCAGTGTACAACACACAGCCAAGATCTGAACAGGAACTTCCTTTCTATTTCCTACAAAAGCTACTGATGCTAGACTGTGGGTTCAGGCATCTGGTCTTCAAAAACACTGGAAATGCAGAAACGGGAGACTTTGTAGGTGCCTCTGATCAAGATGATGATGTTATTGATCCATATGAAGAGTTGTTTGATGACAGAGAAGACACCAATTCTTCAGTCACTGAGTGTCAGCCCCACATTCACCCAATGGACATCCAGATGGCAATTTTTCACTGTGCAGATGATCTTGCCAGGCAATATATTTTGTCTAAACTATCCATTTGTCAGTTTGCACTCCCCCTTGTTGTTCCAAACCCTAATACTTCTCAGATGGAGTTCTCTCTCTGGTCTCTCAGGCAAGTTAGGAGAAGTTGGCAAGAGTCAGGTAAATCACCACAGGACAAAAGCTATATTCACAGGAAGCAGCAGATGTGCTGTGTCTCGACCCCCATTGTGTCCTTCATTAGAGTTGGAAATGGCTTTTCTGCTTCCAAATCTCAGATCATGAACTCTCTCCTCAGTAGACATAAACATGATGTGTTTTTTCACAGACACAGCAGAGGAAACAGCAAACACTGTCTCCTGATGGAGGGAGTGGTAGAGATCTGCTGGTTTTGCCCAGGAAACCAAGGAGAGGACATAGTTAACAAGTGTGTGGCCTTCACCAATCTTCATGGAGATGCCAAAATACATATGGAACAACTCAGCTTCCTGCAGGAAGTCTCTTCTCTTATTGTGATCCTCATGTCCGCTTCTGATAACAATAAAGAGAACCAAAATCTTGTCAGAGACCTGTGGAAGTCATCAAAAACATTGATCTGTTTAATTGATGACAAAGAAAAACTCATGACTAATAATTCTGGCCCAAAGGTGAGAGTTGGCATTAGGAATAGAAATGAGGCAGAATTAACAGAAGAACTCATGACTACCATCAAACGTTTGCTAGAGATCTCTAGCACTGCTCGAAGTCTAGAAGACTGTTCACAGGTGGCTCGAAAACGTGGATTCAAGATTGATGAAGACCAAAGAAAACTGAAGGAAGCCAAAGAAAAAGCACAGACAAATCTGGAACTTCTGACACAATCCAAGTTGTCTCAGATAAAGGAAAACTTATTGCCCCTTCAGGGACAACTGTGGCACCGTTGGTGTAAGAAGGACAAAGAACTCTACCAACTGCAAGAAAAAGGGCAAAGGAGCATAGAACAACACAAGAGTGACATTGAGACAGAAAAACAAAACATCAGAAGACAGCAGTTTAAAAAGGCCTTCCCTCTCAATGACTTAATGCAATTAGTCTTGAAAGTTCTTAAAGATGACTCAGAAAATGACCTCAAACTCTACTTTTTGTACTGGTTAAATGTGGTTTTAGAATATCTAACCAAGGAACACTTGGAGATTTTACATGAAAAGCAACAATTTTTGTGGTCACAGGTACAAGCAGAAAAGCAAAAGGCAGAAAACAGCAGTGCCATTACAAACCGGCAGAAGCAGATAGAAGGCATCTCTACTGAGATTCTTAACTGCACTTTTGGAATAGAGCACATTCTCCGAGAAGTTGGCCAGATCTATGAAGCTCTGGAAGAAATTTCCTCTTCTAGAGATAGACTTTTTCTATGCCTTCCCCAAATTGCTGCAGACCTGATGATAGCTGGTGTTCCCATTGAGCTTATGGATGGGGATGCTTCATATGTGCCTCTAAAGTGGGTAGCAGCTATTTTTGACAAAATCTCAGAGGAAGTTGGAGACAAAAGGATGTTTGTTCTCTCTGTCCTTGGCCTGCAAAGCTCAGGGAAGTCCACTCTACTGAATGCACTGTTTGGTTTAGAGTTCACAGTTAGTGCAGGCAGATGTACCAAGGGGGCCTACATGCAGCTTCTGGAGGTAGATAAGAAAATCAGAGAAGAACTTGGCTTTGATTTTGTGCTTGTGGTAGACACAGAAGGACTTCGGGCTCCAGAACTCAACAAAAAATCCCAGAATTGGGACAATGAGTTGGCAACATTTGTCACTGGCCTAGGAAACTTGACTCTGATCAATATTTTTGGAGAAAATCCATCAGAGATGCAGGATATATTACAAATTGTTGTTCAGGCCTTTCTGAGAATGAAACAAGTGAAAATATCCCCCAGTTGCATCTTTGTCCATCAGAATGTGGGAGAAGTTACAGCAAAAGACCAAACTATGGAAGGACGACGGAGACTGGAGCAGCGACTTGATGAAATGACAGCATTAGCTGCTGAGCAGGAAGAATGCTCCAACATAACCCGCTTCAGTGATGTAATTAAATTTGATGTCAATAGTCATGTCTACTACTTTGCCCACCTCTGGGATGGCAATCCCCCAATGGCCCCTCCCAATCCTCGCTATAGCCAAAATGTCCAGGAGTTGAAGACCGGGATTCTTAGGACTGCCCAGCAGGCATCCAGCGGAAGAATCATGAAGATTTCAGATGTAAGACTTCGAATTCAAGATTTGTGGAATGCCCTTGTCAGTGAGAACTTCATTTTCAGTTTTAGGAACACCCAAGAGGTCATAGCCATGAGCAAACTGGAAACCATGTATAATCAGTGGACCTGGGAGCTGAGGAGTCATGTACTGGAATTACAAAATCAGTTGAACAATCAGATTCATAATGGAAAAATCCTGACAATCACAACCAATGAGTTGGAGGTTCCATTTAATAAGAAGTATGAAACAATCAAGCAAGAATTTGACAAATACTTTGAAGAAGACCCAGATAGTGAAACATTGGTTCAATGGAAAGCAAATTTTGAACATAAGCTACTAATCCTTAAAGATGCACTTATTTCAGACACCAGAAGGAAAAGCAATGAACTCATCAGTCTTAAAAAAAGCCAAGACATACTAGATAACCAAAAATCACAATATGAAAGTGAATTGTTAGAGAGAAGTCGAAAGTTGGCTTTGAGTGTGAAAGGTAAAGAATTTAGTGATGAAGAATTGCGTGAGAAATTCAATCAACTTTGGACAAATTGGATCTACAATGTGTCTTCTACTGCTCCTCCTATCACAGAGCCCAACATAAATGGGGATGCTGAAAGTATTTTTCTAGGGTATTTTACAAAGGACAAAAATATTGCAGAAAGACTAAAAAGAAAAAATGAAATATTTTGCATTAATTATGACAAGCATGTCCAAATGAAAAAGAAGTATCTTGTACTTCGAAGGAGTTTAGAAACTTGCCATAAAGAGTCCATCAAAAGAACTACTGATAACATTTATTTAAGATTCAATGAAACAATTGAAACCATTTGGAAGCAGAAGCGTGACTACAGTCATAATGATTTTCATAAAATCCTTAGGATAATAGAAAATGAACTAAAGTCTGTTTCCCCTGAGGAAGATTACACATTAACTAGAGACTATACCATTGACTTATCCTTATGCTTATTCCAAAGAGCATGTAAGAGTTTCAGGGAAATGCACAAGGCATTCAAGAGATCAAACGATCCTGTGACCTATCTGGAGAGCAAGAAAGATGATTTCTTCTTGAGTTTTAAGATCTCCTGCCAAGGTGCCACCTCCATCACATCTTTTGTTGACTTCCTGTGGTTCAAGCTGACTCCTGCTATCTATGAAACATTATGGGGAAAAATGGGTCCTAAAGTAGCTGGGGACATGAGAGCCACCTGCCCTGAATTCAATGGAAACAGAGCTAACCTGGAGAAACATATTCTCATTTCTCTGGCAGAAGAAGAAGACTTTGAAAAGTATTGGCAATACATTCATCAGCCACAATCCTTTTTCAGAGATTATATTATTGAACACATTAGAAGATACTGTTCAGAAAAAGAGGGTGAAAAAGTAAAAACTTTTTTAAAAATAAGTTTAGGAGACATCAAGAATGCCATCCTCACAGCCATTCATCAGACCACAGAAGTAGCTAATGGTAACAACAGCACTGCTTCTGGCTGGTTGGATTTGTTCTGTGATCACCTAGGAAGCAACCTGATCTTTCCAAGGAAAGACCTGATAAGCATAGAGCACCAAGAGATAAAGGATACGGAATTTCTCAAAGAAGCCATGAGTGCAGCTTTGGATCCTGCAATGAGGAAAATAGAAGAGGCCTGCTCAATGAGGCCCATAGATGAAATAGTTCCTGACATTGAGAAAATTCTCTCTGAGCATCTCTGTGGCTGCTGGAAACAGTGTCCTTTTTGTAAAGCAATTTGCACAAACACCATTCCCCACCATGGTGGAGACCACAGTGTGCCATTCCACCGTCCTCAGGCAGTCAATGGATGGCATTATCATAAAACAGACTACTTTGTCACTAACATCTGTACCACTTCTGTAGCAAGTGACCGTTCATTTATTTTACACGAAGTCCAGAAATTCCCATACAAGAAATACCGAGAAGCAGGAGGTGATTATGCCACATGGAGCATCACCCCAGACTCATCTTCCCAGCCATACTGGAAATGGTTTATCTGTCACTTCAGATCAGAGCTTGAAGTGAAATATGAAAAAAAATTTACAAATTTAGGTACTATTCCAGATTCATGGAACAAAGTCTCAAAGCAAGACGTACTTAATGACTTGAAGAAATAATGATTGCCAAAACACCACACTAGCACTGCCACACAAATTTCACATTAGCCTAGGAAGCCTAATATCAATTTAGGTATCACCTTCAAGTTTCAACATTATAAATGAAATTAATAAAAATAAATTAGTTAACATTTCAATATTTGAAGATATTCTTCTAGAAAGACTTTTTTCTCTTGATTTCTTCTTCTTAAATATAATATAATTAATATGTGAATGTATGTTAATATCAGTATCCATTTAAGAGCCTATTTCATATTTCATTATATAATATTTCATATTTCATATATAATAACTGTTGAAATATTTAGTGACTCAGGAAAAGTTGTCTTATTAGAAGAAGATGCTAGCATTTCTGGCTGTTGTTGATTTCTTTACAACAAATGAATTGTAAATTCATACAACTTATACATCTGTGGAAGTATTATAATTGGCCTTAAATTAGTTTAAATGGATGTTTTCACTCACTCTAATTATGATAAAACATTTCTGACTCTCATTGCATCAACTTTCGTTGTTTATTGAGAATGCCAAAGTAGATAATTTTAATAGCTTCTGTTCTAGAAAAAAAAATAAGCCAGATTTGGCCAGGACGTATTTTCAAGGAAATAAAGAAAAATAAATAAATGAATAAATACAATTTTTCATATCATATTATCACTCTTTTGTCCATTATATCTTGGTATTTTTCTGTTAATCACTGAAAAACCAGTACAAATCACAAATATTATTATTCAAACATGGTGTTACATAGCTACAAACTCTGCAACCTGTAAGAGTAACATGCCCTGCAAGTTATACTGTTTCATTGGTATCACAAATGATGTAGGTTTAACTAAACACCTTCTGATTGGATTTAAGACCAATTCCATGAGTAGATCCACTTCTGACACTGCTATAAAAAGATGATTAATCTAACATTAGATCGGTCTTAGGTCTAGGGGAATACCTATTAATATTGTTTTGGTAAAGTAACATAGCAATACAATGATTGCTATGCTCACAGATCAGTGATTTGTTCAACCTTCAGCAGAGAAACTCCTTATAGTAGACAGGAACTATCACAGAGACCCAGAAGTGGACAATGTGTTGAGAGTGAGAAACCTTAGAGGACTCAGTCCTAAATGGTATATGTTCATCAAATGGTATGTGTTCTCATTGAGACTCAGAGCTATGCTGAAGAGGGGGCTGAGAGATTATAAGAACCAGAGTTGGCATTCCAAGGATAAGGTAGTAAACTCTGGAGATGATGGCAGTACACACAATGTATGTACCACGCCTGACAGCGACCAAGTACTGACTGGGAAAATTGAACACAGTATCCCAAGTATAATGAACAAGCTATCTGCAATTGATGCTTGTGGACCAAGGAAAATAAATTTTCTCCAATGGTGTTCTACTCCATACCCAAGAGCATTTGATGAACATCAACCAAACTGAATGATATTTATGTGGAATTTTTGCCTTATTTTGTTTTGTGTAGGCTATTTTGTTTGTCTTACTTGGTTTTTGATTGTTCATTCTGAATTTAATTTTTTATAGGGATTTGGAGGGGTGTTGTATTATTTTTGTTGTTTGCTCTTTGTTTTATTTGATTTTGAGTGTATTTTTTGAAAGAAAGAGAGCAATAACAGACTTTTGTACATATAGAGTAAAAGAGGAATTGAAAAATAATTGAAAAGGGAAAACAATCAAGATATATTATTTGAAAATTTTTTATAAAATAAAAATAAAATGAGCATAAAAATTAAAACCTGGTGTTATATATAGGTATGAATATTCCTGGAATTACATTTCAGTGATCACATAACTAAGTGCTATGATGTTTAACAATGATTGACAATTTTACAGTGTCTAGAGTCAGGTAAGAGACAAGACCCCAGGTTACATAATTTTATACTAGATTAGTCTATGCCTAGGAGAGATGATAAGGATTAGATCAATGGGGGTAGGAAGATGTTAAACAAGGTGAGAAATCTCTAACTAGGAAGACCATTTCCTTAGCTACTGTCCCAGACTGTATAAAAGGAGAAAGTTATCTGAGCACAGAGCACTCACTGGTCTCCATTTGTTGACTGGAGTTACAGAAAGACTGTCTGGCTAGAAAACTCTCCTCCTTCTCTTTCTCCTTCTCCTTCTCCTTTTCTTTCTCCTTCCCCTCCTCTTCCTCCTTCCCCTCTTATTTGTCCTCCTTCTCCTCCTGTCCTTTCTTTCTTCCTTTCTTTGTTTCTTTATTCCTTTCTTTTTATTGTGTTTTTAAGCTCTTCCTGGGCAACTGGGCTTGAGAAGTATGTAATTCTAGTTGCAGATATCTGGCCTTACCTTTGTTGGATTTTTTTTTCTTTGGGGTGTGTGTGTGTGTGTGTGTGTGTGTGTGTGTGTGTGTGTGTGTGTGTGTGTGTTACTTCTTGACCAAAGATTCCCCTGGCCCCTGATCCCAGTTCCCACTCAACAACTCTTTCCCTTTCCCCATTCACTCTTCCTCCATTTCTATTCAGAAGAGGGAAGGCCTCACATGGATATCAACCAGCCATGGTATATCAAGTTGCAGCAAGATATGGCACATCCTCTTCTATTAAGGCTGGTAAGGCAACTTGGTAGGAGGAAAGGATCCCAAAATCAAGTAACACAATCAGAGACAGCTTCTGCTCCCACTGTTCAGAGTCCCACAAAAAGACCAAACTAAACAACTGTTACATATGTACCAAGGACTTACATAACTCTCATGCAGCTTGTCAGTCTAAGACCCTATGGGCCCAAGCTAGTTGATTCTGTGGGGTTTTTTGTTTGTTTGTTTGTTTGTTTGTTTTTGTTTTTGTTTTTTTTTTGGTACCTTGGATGCATCTGGCTCCCACAATTCTTACCTTCCTGTTATGTAGGATTCCCGTTGCTCCAGGTAATGTTTGGTTGTAGATCCCTGCTTCTTGGTGAAGCCTCTCTGATGACAATTTGGCTAGGCACCTATCTATGATTATGTCATAATATCTTTAGAAATTATTTCGTTGACTTTTTTTCCAGCCATGATGGTTCTATCAAAAAGTCCTCTCTTGTGCCTACAAGTCAAAGTGCATTTTCTGTTTCTCCTCAACAGGATTCAGAGTAGCAGGTTGTATAGTTAAATATTATTTACTTAAAAAAAATTAGGGGTCTCTGAGTTCCTGCCGGCAGGATCCTTGACCCCCATTGCAGGGCCTCTGCTAAAGAGGCCTCAGCTGGAGAGTGCCAGATCCAAGCTAGATACTACGCCTATCGGTTCATCAACATCCTGAGTATCCAGCCTTTGTCCCCCATCTCTAGGCCTTGGCAAGAGGTGAGTCTGGGACCAATTTGGGTGTACTCTCCCCAACACCCTTCCCCAGGAATTCCATAGGATGGCCCCAGATCCCCCTGCCCCTATGTACTGTCACCATCAAGAGCCTCTTGGAGTTCTGATACACCCCCACCCACCCCCACCGAGAGCCTGCCCTCCCCCTAACCTACCCTGCCCTACCCTGCCCACTGTCCCAAGCTCTGGTTGAGCACTGGGACAGATGGTAGAGCCAACAGTCTACATAACTTCAGGGAAATTCTCGGAGCAGCTCTGAACACAGGAGACCTACCTATCCACTCAGGACCACCTGTAATTTCCACCTGCTTGGTTTCCGACCCCCACCACCTGTCCTTTGCTGGACTCCCGGGCCCCTCCCAGAAATTTGCCTATCTCTATGGAACCATGCTGAGTTCCCATCAGCAGGTTCCTTGACCCCACAAATCAGGGCCTCTGCTTAAGAGGCCTCAGGTGGAGAGTGCCAGGTCCCTGTGAGATCCACCTACCAGTTCAAGATTTGAAAACTGAAATAGAGAAAATAAAGGCAACACAAACAGAAGGAATGCTGGAAATAGAAAAACTGGGCAAAAGATCAGGAACTACAGGCTCAAGCATAATCAACAGAATTCAAAAGATGAAACAGAGAATCTCAGGCACAGAAAATAAACTAGAGGAAATAGATTCATTGACCAAAGAAAATCGTAAATCCAACAAATCCTTAACACAAAACACCAGGAAATGTGCGACACCATGAAAAGGACAAACCTAAGAATAATAGGCCTAGAGGAAGGTGAAGAAGCCCAGATCAAAGACCTCAGCATCAATCCAGCCACATTGAACCTCTTAGAAGAGAAAGTACGAGGTACCCTTGAACAAATTGGTATAGGAGACCGCTTCCTGAACATAACTCCAGGGGCACAGACACTGAGAGAAACAATTAATAAATGGGACCTCTTCAAACTTAGAAGCTTCTGTAATGCAAAGGACACAGTGGACATGAACAAACGGCAGCCCACAGACTGGGAAAAGTTTTCACCAATCCTATATATGACAAAGGGCTGATCTCCAAAATATACAAAGAACTCAAGAAACTAGTCAACAAAACACCAAATACCCTATTGAAAAATGGGGTACAGAACTGAAGAAAGAATTCCCAATAGAGGAAATCAAAAAGGCTGAAAGACACTTAAGAACATGCTCAACATCCTTAGCTATCAGGAAAATGCAAATGAAAACAACTTTGAGATAACATCTTACTCCTGCCAGAATGGCTAAAATTAGAAACACCAATGATGACTCATGTTGGAGAGGATGTGGAGAAAGGGGAACACTCCTCCACTGCTCATGGGAGTGCAAACTCATACAGCCATTTTGGAGATCAGTATGGCGGTTCCTCAGGAAAATGGGAATTAGTTTACCACAGGACCCGGCAATCCCCCTCTTAGGCATATACCCAAAGGATTCACATCCATGCAACAAAGACATCTGTTCAACTACGTTCATAACAGCACTATTTGTAATAGCAAGAACCTGGAAGCAACCTAGATGCATGTCAAGCGCTATTGCCTTGCCTGCGAGAACGACACTCAACAACAGGATTCTTCTGCAGCTATGTTTATTGCGCAGCTCATTACAGCAAGTTGAGGGAAGACCCCGAGGAGGAAAAAGGGCTCTGCTTATATAGAGGAGCTGTGTCCATTACTGACAGTTGCAGAGGAGCTGTGTCCGTTACTGACAGTTGCAGCCTGCAACAGTCATAACGGTCACCCCATGACGAGGATCACACATCCGCGCCTTGCTGGCTTATGGACAGGAAACCTGCACCATCTTCGGGAATGGCACTGGTGGCTCGCTACAGATGCACCTCAATTGAAGAATGGATAAAGAAGATGTGGCACATATACAGAATGGAATACTACTCTGCAGAAAAGAATAATGGTATCTTGAAATTCGCAGGCAAGTGGATGGCACTTGAAGAAACCATCCTGAATGAGGTAACCCAGTCACAAAAAGAGGAACACAGTATGTACTCACTCATATATGGATTTTAGACCTAGATCAAACGATCACCAGCCTATAATTCACAACACAAGAGGAACTAGGACACAAGGTGGATTCTAAGAGACTCATATAAAGTCACTCACAGAACTGGAAAGGGACAAGTCCCCCCAAGAGCTCAGGGGAAGTGGGAGGGCAGCGAATGGGGAGAGAAGTAGGAGAAAAACGAGGGGGAGGAAAGGAAAACATGTGCCACTAGGAAGATTGAGCCTGGTTAGGAATAGAAGATAGGAAAGAGAGAGAGAGAGAGAGAGAGAACATAAAAGAGGGAGCCAATATTGGTTTAAAG